AAATGATTCGAGAGAGTTATTCGTGAAAGCCTTTATTAGTAATTTATAATGATTCGATCTTTATAAACCAATTTCTACTTATACTTCTTTCTCTGTTTCTTTTTCTTGAGTGAACTTTTACTTTGTAATGCGGAAACTATCCTTAACTTGTTTTGTATCTGATGTCTCAAACTGCAAAGATGTATATAATGCTTAATATGTATTTAAGATAAAATCAAGAATTCATGAAATGGTGATTGAGGTTGGAATATTATATAAGTTATATAAATACTAACCTCAAGTTTTAAATCATTTTTAGTAGCATGTGCTCTTAAATAACCAAACTCTGAAGTTTTTTTAAGACTCCAACTCTCGGCCTGCCAATGGAGCAGAAGAAACAGTTTCATTTGCTTATTAAAAAAGTTATAAGCATATAAAATATGGGAAGAGTGGAGGATTGTAAGCATGAACAAGGTTTGATCTAAATTGCAGCGGCAAGTTTAAGGTTTTAGAGGTCTCGGCAACAACATTGCTATGCAATATCACAATTTGTAGTGTAATTGCAACTGTAACCACAACTGCAATTTAGATGCATGAGTATATAAACGAGTTTGATGAAGGGAAAATTAGTTACATTGTTTGAGAATTTGTCTAAGGTGAAACCAGCCATTCCAATGATAGCATGTACGGGAGCACTATAATTTCTGCTATGATATGTGTCTACTCCCTTTTGATCTTTTATAGGCATGGCTTTGCACTTATTCTGATAGACAGAACAAGTTCTTTCATAGTTATGCACATGGCCAAAAAGAGCCAAGTCGACCTGTTTCATATTCACAATAGACAAGTTAGCTTCTTATACAAGGCACCGTAAGCAACAGAATTCGAAGGAGTTTGATGTTCTTGCCTTATTAACTAATAGCAATGGCTCCACAGCTTTAATAAAATTTTGATCTTTAGATGAAAATCCTTGGTTGGAACTGTACATTGGTTTATGTCTACAAATAAAAATATCATGTTCAATAGATGTTATGAAATTGAGAACAGTATTTTAAAAATCAAACCAGATAGTTCAACCGTTTAAACCTTCAACCGAGATTTACTACCGTTTAGGTTAGTTTGGCAATTTGATTACGATTTTATTTCCGTTTCAGTGGTTTAGGTCAACTGAACCATGATTAAAGTGTCTCGTCGGTTTGATGTTGTCAAGTTTGATTTTTAAAACATTGCTCGAGAAATGTTCATAAATCACTTACCCCATGAAGATTAACCAAGGAGTATGTTGTCTATTAACTGATGCCATGTCCTTTTTCATCCATTCATACTGCAATACAAATATTACATATATGATATATGTATCTCAATCATTTAATTTAATTAGAAATACAAGAAATTAAAATGATAATTTATTTCATTTAACCTGTTCAGAAAATATGGACCAGTCATGTTTAGTGGATATTACTGTGAAATGAACACCTGTTTGTTCAATAGAGTACCAAAGCTTACCTTTGCAGAAGTTGGCATTGGAAAGTATGTCTCATAAGGTACTCCACATTCACCACCAGAGTCAGGTGTTTGATAAAAGCTTAAATTGAAGAAAGTTTACAAGAGCTTTCACACGAGACGAAAGCTTGCAGACTATGCAATTCTTGTCGAACAAAGCTAGTATTTATCGAAAACTTTGTTAGTAGTCTTTTTCCTTTACAAAAACTTTATCCATTTTTCTAACTTGATGTTTTTATTTTGTTAATAGGTGGAAGCTTTTAGATTTCGCTAAGCTCGAGCTGTGCTCGATATCCATCTTAACACATAAATTATCCTAGTCGTTTATATTTATTATTGAGCAAGATATACTCAAATTAAATATTATGTAGTCCAAAGATATCTTTACAGGTCTATATGGAAGTAGTATAATGTAGTCGATTGAAACAAGATTTTAAAAGCTTGGTCTTTACCTTCTTATTAAGATGATCTCTCTCCAATGCTAGTTGTGTCACTAAAAGCTTGTCTTTAGTTAGAAGTGGCTTCAATTTCAACACAACATTCTTCACTACAACAAAGACAACAAAGCTAGTCAATAAAATGACGATGTTTCTTTCCCAAACCACACTGAAATCGAGGAAATATCTAATTGAGGTTTAACCAAGAAAACGACGACATTGCTCGCACGAACGACCTAGAGAGAATGAATCAGAAAACGATAAAATAGAAACACAAATGTAATAAAGAGTAAAAGAGATGAAATGGAATACATCGTCATTATAAGAAAGAACGGTGATTTCGATGTTCTCGAAGGTGGAGCAATGGGGCTAGAGTGAGCGGTTAATATGCGGGAAGGGGATAAAATGGCGGATCAGAAGGTGTCGTCGTCAAGTATTGAAAATCGGAGAAATTCGCTGGAAGTGGTTTCTAGTCTGGTGCTGGTGAAAGCAGGCGGTGGGTTTTGGATGAGATTCGACGGTGGAATGTTTGAAGAAGGAGAACCTCTCGTTTTCCTTTTCAGTTTTTTTTTCTTTTTTCTTTTTTTAATTTTTTTATATATTTTAGTCTGATATGTGGATAGAGAGTAATGAGTTGATCAGTTCAATATTTTTTTTTAGAAGACATGTGTATAATTCGCATTTGCCTATTCTATAGTAGTATAGATAATTTTTTATATTTAAATTTTTTTCTAATAATGTTTAGAGGGAAATATTTATTTTTTAGTATATAAGTTTGGAGGGAAGATTGCCACCAAAAATTTGATGTTGCTAAACTTTTATGCAACATTGAAGGAATGTAGCCTTTTATTAAAACTAACGTAACAATTTAAAAATATCCCCAAAAATATTTAAGGGGACAATTATCAAACATTTCTAAAGAAATAATATAACGACACTCCAAAATCGTCACCAAAAGTAGTTAAGGACACAGTTAACAATTGTTGCCCAAAAAATAAAAGAGTGACGCTCCAGAAACGTCCCCAAAAGTATTTTAGGTAACGATTATCAAGGGTGGCTATTATATTTTTGTCAACAGCCATAAATCGTTGCCTATACGAATTTTAGGCAACATTTTTTACATGTTATCTAAAAAAGTGTTGCCAGAGACAACAAATGTTGTAGTATGCTTAACATTTGACATGATTCTATCTAGAATTCAAAAGATCATAATTAAAGTTTAATACATAAAAAAAAATATATGTCAATTTATTCAATAACAACCATTACAAAAGCCATAATCATGTTTTATTCAAAAACCTCTATTAATAAACCAAGTTAAGACTAGTAATGATAAAATAATCAATATCATTAACGCTACATAATCTTTACCTAGTTCTTCATGTTTGATAATACCGATGAGGAATAAAATAATGACAAATAGAGTGATGAAAAAAAGAAAACATTTAGCCATTTGAAAGATATGGATAAATTTTTGAGAATGATATGAAATTTATGAAAGAAGTTGAATTATATACAGATATTACAAGGGTCGTTATAGTTACCGTTATGGAAAAGAAAAGAAAAAAACAAAAAAAAAGAAAGAAAAAAATATCATCAAATCAAATTTAAAGTGTGTTAAATATCAACTAGTTATTACAAGGGTTTAGAGATGATTATAAGGTAACACATGGGGTTTTAGACCACCACTAAAATAAAAGTTAATAATTGAATGTAAAAGTTAGTAACTGAATATAAAAGTTATGAACTGGATATAAAAATCAATAATTGCATATGAGGCTTTAAACCTCCATTAAATATAAAAGTTAGTAACATAATATAAAAGTTAGAAACTGAATATAAAAGTTAGTACCTGCATATGTGACTTTAAACTTCCATTAAATATAAAAGTTAGCGACTGAATATAAAAGTTAGTAACAGAATACAAAAGTTAGGAACAGAATATAAAAGTTAGTAACTGAATATGGAGCTTTAAACCTCCATTAAATATAAAAGTTAGCGACTGAATATAAAAGTTAGTGACAAAATACAAAAATTAGGAACTGAATATAAAAGTTTGTAACTTCATATGAGGTTTTAAACCTCCATTAAATATAAAAGTTAGTGACTGAATATAAAAGTTAGTAATAAAGTATAAAAGTTAGGAACTGAATATAAAAGTTAGTAACTGCATATGAGGTTTTAAACCTCCATTAAATATAAAAGTTAGTGACTGAATATAAAAGTTAGTAACAAAATATAAAAATTAAGAACTGAATATAAAAATTATTAACTGCGTATGCGATTTTAAACTTTCACACAAAATATATAAAAGCCACGCTTATTATAGAGCACTTGACAAGTTGTCAGTTTTCTATAAAAAGAGGGTAAAGTAAAAATAACGATAAAAGTAATTCTTGTTATAAATCACTTGACTAATTGTCAGTTTTCTATAACCATGGTAAATAAAAATTGTAATGAGATTAAAATTATAAGTTTAGAAGATATACCTAATGTAGTAATAACTTCTTATAGAAACGATCGTGCTGATAACGTATTGAGAAAAATCGATTTCGATTTTGAATATTTGTTAATATTTATGAAAACTTAGATGAAAGATTGAAGAAAGGAGAATGCTTTAGTTGTGTTTTCAAAATATATATATATATTTTTTTGTGTATTTTTACATTGACCAAGTATAGTATTTATACTACTAAAAATATAACTATTACACTAATATAATAATTGAACATATTAATTGAACATATTATTTTAACTTTGACAAATTATGTATCTACAATAATTTATCTTTTATTTAGATAAATATTTTTAAATAATAATATTATAACATATACCATTTATTTTAAAAAAAACAAATAAGGATAATACATTGTAGGCAAAATTTATCAACAAATCATAACATCATTAACATTAACAAACATAAGATATACAGATTATGTTTCTTAGTTTTGTTCCTCAAACTTTTCGTTATGCTCTAAAATATTTCAAAATTGGAGAATCAAAATAAGGCCCATTGGGCTGTCCAATGAATAGCAAGTTCTCCATTTTGGGCCGATCCATAGAAGTGTGAATAAATAAATATTAGTCATTCCGTAAAATTTCTTCTACACCCCCTCCTTTTTCTTGATCTTGTACATGTTCGTGTTTTTGTGAATCATCATTATCATTAATAACATGTGAATTACTACTGTTGCTATGTTTGCTTTTGGCTTCAACTACAGGCCTCACAACAATTTCAACTGTGTCAACTTTATCAATGCTTTGTGATGGAGCTAGTTGATTCTTTTTCTTCATCTCTTTACTTTTACCCCATACAACAGCATATAAACCACATACAATCAACATTGCTCCAATAATGCTGAAAATAACAAAAGTAAATAACTTAAAGTGGTATATACTGGCAATTTAAATTTACAGTTCCTATTTTATTCGTCATAAAGACAGCTCTGATCTGATATTTGATCGGATGAATTAAAAAATATCAAATTTAATTTTTATTTTAAAATTTCAAAAATGTTAAATTTAAATTCAAATCCTCTAATCTTAATCGAACAGCAATAGACGCATACCTTCCGAGGTGTAACTTCTCATTCAAGATTGTACAACTGGCCAAGGCCACACAGACAAGCATCAAAGGGTTAAAAACAGATGCAAACAATGGTCCTCTCATGTGTACACACCAAGAAATTACACAAACCATTGCTCCAGAAACCACTATACCCTGCACCAATCAATTCACATATATCATATAATAAATAAACTCCAACAATAATACACAGTTAACCAAACTAATTAATTAACACTAATCATAATCATACCGCATAAGCAACTGTGAATAACCTAATATTCCACCCCAACTTCCACTCACTAAACTCCCTCTCAAAACAAAGAGCAAACACAATAGAAAGCAATGAAGCCCAAAATGACATCAAAGCTGTACTCGAATAATGAGTTGGATATTTTTCACTCATCTTTGCCTGTTACATACACAAACTTAATTAATTAATTAATTAATTAATCAAACAAAATTTTAGTTTATAAAGATTATTATTATTCATTATAAACTTACATGAATAATGAGCCATAATGCATAAGAGATGCTACTAGCCAAAGCACATAGAGAACCAAAAATAGTATTACTAGTGGAGATTGTAGTAGCTTGTGGTGAGTGCGCTGATACGTCACCGTTTTGATGATGCAAAAGGTTTAAATGGAATGAACCAATATTTATTTCAATACCTTTAACAAATGTTAATACCATTGCTCCACTAATTCCAGTCATTGTACCTATTATCTTTGCCTTTCCAGCTTTTGTTCTAAAATTTAATTTTTCCAAACTGAAATAAAATATCACAAAAATATATAAATTTTTTTGAGAATAAATTTTATTGTTTGGAAAAAAATATTTAGTTAAAATTAGGGTTTACTTACCCGAAGGAAACAGCCATTATAAAGGTTATAGCTGGTACAAGGTTGGCCATTGCTGATGCAAATGTTGGTGAAGTTAAAACCAAGGCTTCTAAGTAGAAGTTTTGAGCTAATGATCCACTACAAGTAAACATCAAAACCTTAAAATTATTTTAAATAAAACACATACACACAAATATTAATATTAACACTGACATATTAATATTAACACCGACATGTTAATATTGATAATAATTAAAAAAAAAGTTGTCCGGTCAACTATTCTTCATGTTAAGATTTTTTATTAAAAAATGTATACCAACACATAAATTATAAAACCAAACTTTTCAACTTACAAGATACATAAATGTATGTTAAAAATGAAAAAGTTCCTATAATTCTATTCAAATAAGCTACACAAAAGTTGCATCATGAAAAGAAACATAAAGAAGCAAAATGGTTGTATCTTTTTTAACAATAAGCTTATTGATGTAACTCTAGAAAACACACGTGAACATAGCAACTAGAAACACAAGTAAATAAATGCTTAAGAACTAGTCCAACATATTTTATATACTTTATATACGTGGACAGCACAAATCGCCATTTTCACAACAACTACATTCAAACTTGACATCTGTTTCTCTTGTTATCAGAACCCAAAAAAAATTTAAAATAAAAAACTCATTCTAACGTTAATTAAGGTTTAGCTAGAACATTACATACCCAAATAAACCACACAGAAATGACTGAAACAGTATCTTCCATGTCATCTTTGTCCTCTTCTTCCTGCACCAAACAATTAGGGTTTCACTCTCATTATCATATATTTAATATATATATATATATATATATATAGGTTTAAAAATGAACCTTTCAATGATGAAAGCAAGTGGAGCTATGAAAGCGGTTGAGAATATGAAACGGTAAGCAACAACGACTCTTAAGTTCATGCCATCATTAACAGCAAGTTTGTAGAGAATATTAACACCAGCAAATGCTATTTGAACCATAACCATTAACAAAGTTGGTTTAAAACCCTGCAATACATTACATATATTGTCCTTCATCATCATGATCAAAAGTATGATTTATGATGATTTAGACCTAGTCACAAATATTGATATTTCAGTTAATTATTATGACAGTGTAAATTGTTATAATAGTGAGGTGTAAGAGTATAACTATATATATAGTGGAAGGAACAAGGGTTGGTGTTATGGTGATTCTGAAGAGGCAGTGTTTGTTTGGTTTACCACGTCATCATATATACATCGGAAACTTACACGTTTTAACCTCCTATTTGACACGTGCTAATTTTGGTTTGGTGAGCATAAATATCAAGAGTTTTCCCAAAATTATGCAAACAGTACATGGAGCCTATAGCTATGCATGAAACTTTGTGAAGAAGGGTGCATTTGGAAAGGAAGAAATCAAAGCAAAAAAGACAAATTCTCTTTCACTAATGTCCACAATCTATTTGTTGAAATTCTACAAGCAAACATCATCGGTATTACATCGAGAAGAGACAAATTTTGCATTATCTAATCGTTTATATTTAGATGGGAGGAGTTTAGTGTTACCAGGCTAGTGTAAGCACATCGTTAAACTTCTTTTCCTATATATATAAAATATTTGAAAATAAAAAAGAAACTATAGCGTTACCATATTAGTATAAGCACAAGGCATCAAGCATCAACCATAAGGAAATAGGAGATTCAATACACAATCTGGTCGCTTTAGTAATTCTGTTTAAAATTCTTATTTTGTTTTCCGCACTGCAAATTGAAAGAAATCTCAATTTTATTTTATTTTTTACATTGCAGGAATTTGTCTAGTTCGAACATAGTTTCTGTGAATTTGATCTTAATTATTATTTCGACATTATCGGTACACTTGTCAAGAAGTCGTCGATATCTTTTTTAATAAAGGTGTTTAGAAAATAAAAGTAAATATTAACATCACCACATGACAAAAAGAAACATTTTACTGCTTGCAAAAAACACATGCTCAAGAGATTCTCCTAGCTATTTTAATATATAAGCTAGACTAGCATATGTAATTAGTAAAATATCATATTGTCCTTAGATATTACTTCATGATTCTAATATTTTCTATGGATAAGGTTTACCTTGTTTATCGTCAAGCATGTTTGGATACTTTAAAGGAGCACACAATTAATTATAGGGAGCTCTCAAGCTTCAAATATAGGTATAAATTTCTTTAAAATGTCCTCTTTATATATTAATATCTAAAAAGGAGAAAAATGCTATACAACTATATATTCATACATTCATTAAAAATAAATAAATATTTATATATTATAATATAGTAAATAGAATGATAATTTAAAATTATAACTTAATAATAAATAAAAATTTCACACGAGTAAAATTAAAATAATAAACAAAGGGTCGTTTAATAAATAACTCAGTGGATCATATTATATTTAGTAAATTTAATAAAATATTAAATTTATTCTATAACACCCTGAGTAATATGTGTAGCACCCAAAATTTGTCTTTCCGTTTTGACAGCATCTGACTTTTGTTTCTTTACATTTTCGCATTTTTTGCATTTTGCATAGCATTCGCTCTTGGGACAGGGGATCAAGGTTTTCCCGTGACTCAGTTTTCATCTCAACGCATGAACTGGAAAAGCGAGCATCAGAGGCTTTGGCGTTTATTTTTTTCAGCGGTCGGGCGATCGATTTTATTTTATTTTGCAGGGTATTTTCAGCTCATAAAGCAGCATTCAGGCTATCGCAAGCATTTTCATGGTTATGATATTCAAGAGCAAGTTTCAAAAGTTGAACAGAGCTTAGAACGGATGGAAACAGACAAATGTGCAGATTTCTCTCCAAAAAGGCGCCAAATTCAAATTTTTGAAAGTGTTAATCGATTAACCAAATGTGTTAATCGATTGACCAAGTCAAAATCAGTCCAGATTTGAATTTTTAACAGTGTTAATCGATTAACCCAAACTGTTAATCGATTAACCAATGCAGGTTTTGCCTCTGCACGTGAATTTTCAAAGGGGGTTACTTTGGAGTCCAATTTTGATCACTTTGGAAGTTCAATTTTACACTTGGGAAGGATCTAGAACAATCTTGAATTTTGGTTAATCTCATTTTCCCTCCAAACTTCCATTCCTCATTCCAAACCAAATTTCACAAACCACATTTCAAACCTCTCATTTGGATCCAAACCTAAGGGGTATTTAATTGGTTTACTCCAAACCTCACACATCTAATCTTCATTTTTCACTCTCATTTTCAGAATTCATCTCAATTCTCTCAAGTTTTCTTTCAACTTTCAAAACCCTCACCAAAACTCTTCATCCATTGAATTCTTTGATTCTCCATTGGAATCAATGAATTCTTGATCTAGAACCTTCATCCTTTATCATCATCATCTCCATTTTTTCATTTGATTTTCGTGCAAACTTGGATATGAATTTTGAAGTGGATCTAGAAATGATTATTTGGAGTAATTTGGCTTGATTTTTGTTGATCATCACTTATATTACAAGAATTGGCTTAGATCTTGAAGTATTCCGAATTTCTTGATTAGATCTACACGTTCGAAGTAAATCAACATTAACCGAATCAATTCTCCGCTTCGAAGGTTGGAATTCTAGATCTATTGCATTTTGAGCTTATTTTGCATAATCATGTTGATTTTCATTTTTGATTGATTTGATTCATTCTTGATCAATATGAATTGTGACGGTGCTATTTAGAGGTGCTTACATCTTGTTTAGATCACTGTTTTATGGTTTAACTTCGTGCACAATTGTTTATGAGATCATGTGGATGTTTGCTTAAGTGATAAGTTGTTGAAAAGTGCTTTTCTGTTGTTGTTTTCTGCTGCTGGAGCAGTGCTAATCGATTAACCTCTGGTGTTAATCGATTAACCAGATCAAACTTTCAATTTTTTTGCAGTTCACACAGTGTTAATCGATTAACGTAGTTTGTTAATCGATTAACACGTTCAAACTTTCACTTTTTCAACTGTTTTTCAATGGTTAATTGATTAACACCTGCTGTTAATCGATTAACACTGCTCCAGCAGGCCTTTTTTTGTTGTTTTTCATGCGTATTTCAGTACCGTTTCACTTTGAATCATCATAGATCAGTGTGGTGCATTAAGAGTGAGATGTTTTGGATATATGTCGCTGTTTGTGATTGTTTAAACGTGATTTCATCGACACGCGTGCTTGCTTTCCACTTGGATACATGCTCTCGTATATGTTGTCCGAAGTGATGTGTGTTTTCTTTTGTTTTGCTTGAGTGTGAGAATCAAGTGGTCGAGATGCGCTTGTGGCGGTTGCTGCCCCACACTTCTTTTCCTCCCACTTTTCTCCGATGGTTGTTGGCCGATGGTCGTAGGAGTTCGCTTCTCCCATTCTTTCTCTTTTGTGCTTACATGTTCACGTTTGCTTGCTTGCATTTATTCACTTTGTTTGCATTCTTTGTGCAGCTCCTTTCTTGCATTATTAAAGGTTGAGATGTGCTTGTGGAGGTTTTCACCCCACACTTTTTCCTCCCTTTGCTTGTGTGTTGCATTGCATATGCATTCTTTCTTCTTTCATGTTATCTTATGCTTTGCTTCTTCTTCTTCTTCTTCTTCTTTGCCATGTTCCCTTAGGATCTCTAATCTCTTGAGATTATGATAGACCTTAAGATTTAAACCATGCATGATAATATTAGATAGTATCCCCCTAACCTCAATCATAGGACCATTTTGCATGACAACTATTAGGTTTGAGTTAGTCTCCGTTTAGTTTGTCCTCTCTCCTTCTCGTCTTCAAATCATGTCAAAACACTTAATAAAGGTTAACGAATGTTGTGTGTTACGAGCCTTAAGTACTTGGGAAATGATGATTGGGTGGTTGCCTCTCAATTGTCTAGAATGTTAGCGTATGTCCTTTGGACGATATGCGACGCATTCGCTCCTAGGTCATAGTCTTTAGTGTAACATGAGTTACAAACAATAATCAATGCACTTCTTCTCTAAAAGACACAAAATCACTTTCAAACCTTTTTATCCTTCGGGATCCTAATGATGGAAAACCTTTTTTCAGAAAAGAGAGTTTTGTTAACTCTTGGTTCTACCGCAAACGGGTAACGCCTAAGTCTCCAATGGTCGAGCTGCATACACCTAACTACTAGAACCAAGTTTTAAACCTACTTGGGTAAAAACAGTTGAACCAATCGGTGTTCTTGTTAGCCCAAACTACGTTTGCTCTGATTTCTCATACCAGATGAGAATACGTAGGCACAAGACGCGATGTCTTAGCGAGCAACCTTCCCCCACCTTTCTCCCGTAGTTAGCTGAACTACGTTGACTCTGACTTTCCCATTGCACGAGGGAATACGTAGGCACAGAGCAGCTATGCTCTGCCGAGTCACTTTTCTTTTCTTTTGTCCCTGAGACCTTTAGCTAGATAGATAAACACCCTTTTAGATAGATAACAAGCATGGATCCCGTCGAGTACGACGGACGTGAGGGGTGCTAACACCTTCCCCTTGCGTAACCGACTCCCGAACCCGAGACATGGTTGCGATGACCTGTCTTCTCCCGTTTTCATCAGATTTTCTCTGATCGTTTCCTTTCCCTCTTTTGGGATAAATAACGAACGGTGGCAACTCTTCTGTTATTGTCGGCACCTTTTTTCGCAGTAGCGACAATATGCATATAGAATCATATTAATCAAAGTATTAAATATGGTACTGAATACAATCAAAAGTGTTTAAATTAGAGGTGGAAAAATGGGTTGGCCATCCCGTCATGCCTTAATCCCGCCAAAAAAAGAGCGGGACGGACAATCTGAACAAGTTGAATTGGGCTTAAAAACCTAGTCCGCCCCGCCAAGGGGATAGATTGGCAGGCCGCGTGCTGGCCCGACTATAGTTTTAGATTTTATTTTCTTCATTTTTTTAATAGATTAAAATGATTTATTTACATTTCAATTAGAAAACATCAAACCAACATTGGAAAGCATAAAATGACAACTAAAAGTATAAACCAATAAAATAATTTCACCTAAAATATAATCATTAACAAGAGTTTCA